CCTGGGGATTTAACCCCCAGATTTATGTTTGCACCCTCCCCGAGTTGACAGCAAAGGACAAAACAGACATAAACCTCAAGGACTAGACAGTGGGAGAGGAAATAGCAAAAGTGCCAACAGTCCTTGGAAAATGAAAAGTAGGTGGAAGAGGGGTAACTGACTTAGCAGGATAGAGGAAGCGTGAATGCCTTCCGAGTTGGGGAATACTAAGGGACATGGGATCAAAAACAGATTCTGGCCCTGGCTGGTTTAGCTCAGTGGATAAAGTGTCAGACTGTGGACTGAAGGGTCCTGGGTGGGATTCAGGCCAAGGGTACATGCAGGTTCAGTTCCCAATAGGGGGCCTGCAGGTGGCAGCCAATCAATGATTCTCATCATTGATGTTTCTATCTCTCCCTGTCTGGAATCAATAAAAACATCCTATATAATAGAAGCTAATATGCAAATCGACCAAACCTTGGAAAAACCGGTCTCTATGGTACACGCTGATCACCAGGGGACAGATGCTCAACCACAGGGGAGTGCTGCTTGGCTAGAAGGCTGTGGTCGGAGCCTCTCCGTGGGACATCCCCCGAGGGCTCCCGGACTGGAAAAGGGTACAGACCTGGATGGGGGACCCCTCCGCCCCCCAAATGCATGAATGCTGTGCACTGGGCCTCTAGTATTTAAAATAAAACAGATTAAAACAGGTTGAACATTTCTAAGAGAAATTCCAGGAAGAGGTAATAAAGCATATGGAAGAAAGAAAATTATCAAAGAGTAATACAAGAACGTTTTTTAAAACTTAGAAGTTGTGTCACATACCTCTTAATTCCCACCATAGAGAGTGAAAAAAGACATTAATTTTAATAATAATAGTCCCAAGTATTTATATAATGCATACTCTTTGCCAGGCACTGTTCTAAGTGTTTTATACGTGTTAACTAATTTAAAATCCCAACCCCATTTTGTCAATAAGGAAGCTGAGGTGCCGGGAGATTAAGAAATTTGCCCAACCCGTCCAGCGTGGCTCAGTGGTTGAGTGTTGAGCTATGAACCAGGAAGTCACTGGTGGGGTATATGCCCAGGTTATGGGCTTGTTCCCCATTGTGGGGTGTGCAGGAGGCAGCCAACCAATGATTCTCATCATTGATGTTTCTATCTTTCTCTCCCTCTCTAAAATCAATAAAAATGTATTTTAAAAAGAAAGAAATTTGCCCAAGGGTACACAATCAGTCTTCTAGGCAGTGTGACTCCTGAGCGCATGCTTGTATTCACCATGCTCTCCTAAAATCTTCTGGGGAGAGGGAAGATCATGTACTAAGGTTTGGGGATAAGACTGGTATCAGAGCCCTAGCCAGTTTCTCTCAGTGGATAGAGTGTCGACCTGCAGACTGAAGGGTCCCAGGTTTGATTCCTGTCAAGGGCATATGCCGGGGCTGTGGGCTCCATCCCCAGTAGGGGGCATGCAGGAGGCAGCCAATCAAGGATTCTCTTTCATCATTGATGTTTCTATCTCTCTCCTTTCCTCTCTGAAATCAATAAAAATATATTTAAAGACCAAAAAAAAAAAAATCAACAAAACACATATTGTCCTGGTCCTCCCAGCATACACATGAAGGGGCCTTGAAGGCCATCATTACATAAATAGAAAATTGAGGCTCAAAGAAGAGAAATAATCTCCCCAAGGGGATAGGTTAATGGGGTCCCAATAACCCGAGTCCTAGTTTCCCATTACACACTCTTGTCTCTGGGATCTCAGACTGGCTCAGGTTCTCCCACCCCCATAACACCCACCCAGCTTATGGGCCTCTACTACTTTGTTCTCCAGCTGCTTCTGCCTCTTCCACTCCAGGATTTCCCAAAGAGCCTTACTGGGAGCAGTTGCACAGCTTGGCTCTAATAAGGAAGGTGGCCAAACTCTTATGAGTAGCAGAAGGGCATGTGTGTGCGTGCTCATGTGTGCCTGTCCCAGCCCGTCCATCCTGTCATTAATCATTTGTCAGCCTGTGCTGGGGAAACACTTTAGGTTTTTTATTTGTTTGTTTGTTTTAAATATATATTTTTATTGATTTCAGAGAGGAAGGAACAGGGAGAGAGCAATAGAAACATCAATGATGAGAGAGAGAATCATTGATTGGCTGCCTCCTACATGTCCCACACTAGGGATCGAGCCTGCAATCCGGGCATATGGCCTGAGGAGACCAGGAATCAAACCATGACCTCCTGGTTCATAGGTTGATGCTCAACCACTGAGCCATACCGGCTGGGCCAGAAACACATTAGTTTTGAAAAGACTAGATGACCCAACACCAGAGGGGCGTGGGCATAGGTTTCTAAAGGGTTAATCACAAATGTGGACCAAAACACAAGACCAAGCACACTGTGACCCTGACAAAAGCAGGGAGGTGGGTTTGCCTAAATATGTCTGAGGGGAATGGTGAAAACTGACTGGATGTGGGGGTGGGGGTGGAAAGAGCATGGGATGAGGAGTCCAGATGATAGGGCCAATCATGTGCAGGTCTGTTCCCTCTCCCCCATAAGGGCCTCCCTTATCCCCCAACTCCGTGCTGTGCTGGAGCTGGTCTTCAGCTGATGGTCTTCAGATGATGCAGTGGAGCAAAGAACTTGGATGTCCCCGCAGGTTCTTCACAAGAGCCTGACAGCTCAGCCAGGGATCTCCTGGGCAGAGGGCTGAGGCAGTCCCAGAGAGAAAGCCTCTTCCTCCTTGTCAATCTCCAAGGACCATCTGACCTGTGAGCTCTAGAACTCCTAGTCCCTGGCTATTATTCAAAAATCCGAGATGCAGAGACTCCTGAAAAAGTTGCTCTCCAAGTGTGTTTTAGTTTCCAGTAGAAGAGTTTTGGGTTCTTATTTGGAGACACTTAGCAAACACCAAGGAAGGTGCTAGGGAAGGTAGTTGGCTCCTGAAACTTTCAATTCATAGATCCATGAGGCAACTCAATGCTCTGAACTTCAGGCCTGTGTGTCCATGTGCCTGCAGGACATCATGATGTGTCCTAGAGCCATCTTAGATTCTATGTTTCCCAAACTGAATTTATTATCTTCCCTCCCACCCAACTTCCAAGTCTTTTGTGTCCTCTTTTCAACAAATGGCAAAACTATCCATCCATTTACTGCCTCCTGCACATCTCCTACTGGGGATGTGCCCGCAACCAAGGTACATGCCCTTGACCGGAATCGAACCTGGGACCTTTCAGTCCACAGGCCGACGCTCTATCCACTGAGCCAAACCGGTTTCGGCGATTTCTGGGGTTCTTAACCAAGCGCCCTTCCCTTCTCCCTGCCCTGTCATGTCCCTTTCCCGCCATCGGATGCCCGTAAGGGAAGTGACGCGCTCGCCCCGATGACAGTGACTGGCGCCCTGCCTTGGTCTGGCACCTCCACTCACCTGCTGCCAACACCTGCCATGTTTCATGCGTGGTCCCTAGTGGTCAGTGCACGTCATAACGACCAGTTGTTTGGTTGTTCCGCTGTTCAGTCTATTTGCATATTAGGGTTTTTTAAAAAATATATATTTTATTGATTTTTCACAGAGAGGAGGGAAGAGGGATAGAGAGTTAGAAACATCGATGAGAGAGAAACATCGATCAGCTGCCTCTTGCACTCCGCCTACTGGGGATGTGCCCGCAACCAAGGTACGTGCCCTTGACCAGAATCGAACCTGGGACCCTTGAGTCTGCAGGCTGACGCTCTACCCGCTGAGCCAAACCGGTTAGAGCACATATTAGGGTTTTATATATAAAGATTATATAGGATTATTGTACAAAAGAAAGCAAGAATTTATTGCGGTGCAGCAAAAACATACTTAGGGCAGTGAAACAAGGAAGGGCATAGAAGCAACAAGAGAGCCTAGGCTGGGCTGCTCTGGCTCACTGGGAGGTCAGAGAAAAGGGGGCTTGGAGACAGGTTCAGCGGGTTAGCCAGGGAGGAGCTGACACTGCCCATTGCTCTCCTGGTTGCAAGTCTCACGGGGTCCCTTAGAGGTTAGGAGACACGCTCCTGTGGGGGAATGGCACGGGCATGCTCCCTAGACGGAGAGAGCAATAATGGAGGTATTATTGATGAGGTCTTCTAGATAGAATGATCAGTGATTTGCTGAAATCTATCCACACTGAGCATTTTTCTGGCTTTAATTTTAGCATTTGGTCTGAAACATCTATTAATCACTCAATAGAACAGCTGTTCTCAACCTGTGGGTCGCGACCCCTTTGGGGGTCAAACGACCCTTTCACAGGGGTCGCCTAAGACCATCGGAAAACACATATATAATTACATATTGTTTTTGTGATTAATCACTATGCTTTAATTATGTTCAATTTGTAACAATGAAAATACATCCTGCATATCAGATATTTACATTACGATTCATAACAGTAGCAAAATTACAGTTATGAAGTAGCCACGAAAATAATTTTATGGTTGGGGGTCACCACAACATGAGGAACTGTATTAAAGGGTCACGACATTAGGAAGGTTGAAAACCACTACAATAGAATATCTCAAATAGTTTGGTATCCACACCTTTTTAAGATGCTTGGCCAGCGTTTCCAGGGCAGAGGCCTCAGCGCACGACTGAAGCTTGCTCCTATTGGTCCAGTCCAGGTTAGGGGCGGGCTATAGCAACTCCACACAAGTAACTGGCCTTTCCTGTGGCTCCGCCCCCGGAAGCAATCGCTAACGCCTGTGATTGGCCAGAGCCTCTAGAGGCGGGCTCCGAGCTGAGCTGGGGGTTCGTAGTGCAATCTGGGCAGCAGCTCAGTGGGTGACATGTCCGCTGTGGGTGGGGAGAAGCCAGGGGAGGCAGGGCGGGGGCAAGGGCACTGATACTGTCGGCCCCTTCAGCTTCAGCCTGACTCTACACACACAAACCCAGCTCCAGGAACCCTTTTGGGCTTATAGACACCCACTTGGTTCCGTGACGATTCACTTAAGTCACCTAAGCCTGGGGAATACCCCAACTTTGCTCCTCTCCCCATCTACTCATTCACGGGCACATGTGCGCCAGGATATAATACTTTATTCACTAACACGGGTGGAGGATTTGTAATGAAGTGGGAGAGGCCACTGTTCCCAAAAATCCCAGTAGGGGATTTGCCATGTCTCCCAGGTCCCGGGCAGCCAGTTCTGCCATCCTACCCTTTCCCAGACCAGGGTCCCGCAGTCCTTGTCCAGTTAGTCCAGCCCCTGGGAGTCAGGGCCCTGGCATGCGCCTCCTCAGCCAGACACTAGCAGCCGCAGCGACAAGGGGGCTCACCTACTCTCACACCCTGGGCAGCGCTCGCTGACGCTGGCGGCCGTAGCGCCGGGGGGCAGCTTGAAGTCTTGGCCGCACACAGTGCAGATATAGCAACGGTGCAGCACGTGCGCACGACGGTGGCGGACGTAGTGGGAGCTGAGGCGGAAGCGCCGACCGCACTCGGTGCAGGGGTAGGGCCGCTCGCCCGTGTGCGTGCGCGAATGCTCCGCCAGGTTGGACCGGTGGCCAAAACGGCGGCCACACACGGCACAGCGGTGCGGCTTCTCGCCCGTGTGCACGCGCCGGTGCTTGGCCAGCGCCGAGCTCTGCGCGAAGCGCGTGCCGCAGTCGGCGCATGCGTACGGCCGCTCCCCGGTGTGCGTGCGTCGGTGGCGCGCCAGGCACGAACTGCCGCCGAAGGCGCGCCCGCAGTCGGGGCAGGCGTAGGGCTTCTCGCCCGTGTGCACGCGCAGGTGCTGCGCGTAGTTGGAGCTCTGAGCGAAGCGGCGCCCGCACTGCGTGCACACGTAGGGCTTCTCGCCCGTGTGGCGCCGCCGGTGTTGCTGCAGGTTCGAGGCGGCGGAGAAGCTCTTGTCACACTCCGGGCACTTGTAGGGCCGCTCGCCCGTGTGCATGCGGCCGTGTTTGGTCAGCGCCGACTTCTGGGAGAAGCGCTGGCCGCACTCGGTGCAGACGAAGGGCCGCTCGCCCGTGTGCGTGCGGCCGTGTTTGGTCAGCGCCGACTTCTGCGAAAAGCCCCGGCCACACTCGGGGCATTCGAAGGGCCGTTCACCCGTGTGCGTGCGCGAATGCTTGGCCAGCGTGGACCGGCGCGCAAAAGCACGGCCGCAGTCCGCGCACGCGTGTGGGCGCGCCGGGTCGGTGGACTGCGCTGCGGCCTTGCTCGGGGCCTGCTGGGAAAGAGGAGATAGGTCAGTCCTGACCCACAGGCCCGGGGGCAAGAGACCTGGGTCTCCGCAAGTTGCGATCTCAGTTCCGCTTATGGAAAACAGGAAAGCCAGGGTGCCTCCCTCATAGCACTGGTAGGGCAGAATGCATGGAGGGGAGAGTAATGGATGGGGTGCCGTGGAGGGGATCTCCTAGGGCCTTGTAATATGAAAGATGGGGAACCATTAGAGGAGATACGGCCCGCGGGCCGGATCCGGCCCGTTTGAAATGAATAAAACTAAAAAAAAAAAAGACCGTACCCTTTTATGTAATGATGTTTACTTTAAATTTATATTAGTTCACACAAACACTCCATCCATGCTTTTGTTCCGGCCCTCCGGTCCAGTTTAAGAACCCATTGTGGCCCTCGAGTCAAAAAGTTTGCCCACCCCTGTGTTAGACGGTACTTTGCAGGGACATGACCAGATGAGACTTATTTTAAAAGCCTCCATCAGGATGCTGGGGTAGAAGGAGGCAGCAGGCAGAACAGGAGCCCAGGGAAGAGGCTACTGCACTGCAGTCATCTGGCCAGAGAATGGGGTGGGGCCACAACATTAGTAACAAAGAAACAGAATTTCCGGAGGATGAGGCCCAGAAATCAGGATTTTAAAAAGATTCCCAGGTGATTCTAATGTGCAGCCAAGGTTGAGAACCACTAGCTCCTTGCTACAGACCAGCCATATCAGCATCACCGGGAACTTGTTAGAATCTCAAGTCCCACCACAGACCTACTGAATCACAACCTTCACTTTAACAAGATTCCCAGGTGACTTGTATGCTTGTTAAAATTAAGACTTAATCTAGAAGAGAGAACAACTCCTGGAGAAAGCAGGTGGGAAAGGTGACAAGGGTTTTACAGGCTGAAGGACCGCACAGGCAGTCTTAGAGCTGAGAAAGGGCAGGTCTGTTTGAACTGGGGCATGGGATGGGTGTTGGGTCATGAAGTCAGGACATGAGGTCAGGTGGTATAGAGTTTTGAATGCCAGGCCTAGGAGCTAAAACTCTATCCTGAGGGAAACAGAAAAACACTCAAAGGTTTAAGCAAAGAGAGAAAGAGAGGATTAGATGTGCACAGAGCCCTTTGAGAATATCTTTGTGTTCATTAAGGAGAGGTTGGATTTTGATAGGCAGTGAGAGAATGCTTCAGCGCCTGCGTGCAGCATAATTCAGGCCTGTTCTGGACAACAACTGGCCATGGGACTGGGTGATAACAGCTACGAGATGCAGGATGTCAGCACTGGAAAGAGCTTTGGAGACGACAATCTTCATAGAAACAGACTCAGGGAGACCACACAGCAAGCTCATGAGCTACCTTGTGGGCAGGTGTTGTGCTAAACGTTGATGGGAAGTGTGTGAGTAATCCTCATTCCACCCTCCTCCAAATCCAGTCACCCAGATGATAGATACTCAGTCTGGCTTTCAAAAATCTTACTTTCATTATCTCACTTTACAGATGAGATAGCCAAGGCAAAGCTGGTAAATGGTGAAGCTGGGGTTTGAACCAATACTTTTAACTGCTACATGTTCTGTCTAGAGTCAGCCCTCTGTACGTTTCATGGCCAGCCATGCCCAGCCTCCTCCATCCCATCCTTAGCTCTAGCCAGTCCACTCAAGGTTTGAAAATATCCCCAACTTTCTGTCTTGTCTCCACTGCTGTCACTACCTGAGAGCAGGCTGCCAGCCTCACATGGCCTGTTCTCCCCACAGCAGCCAGCGAATCTTCTGAACAGAAAACCCAACGTGCTTCCTCTGATTTGGGGCTTCTGATGGCACTGTATCACCTCACGTGGGATGTAAAATTCCTATGCAGCTTCCAATACCTGTAGCTCTCTGGCCCCGTCTCCTCTGAGCCTTTGCTTTTGCTGTTTCCTCCTCCCGGAAGCCCCTCCTCTGCCTCCATTTGCCAAATGCCCACTGAGCTTTGTCTGTGAGCCTTCCCCACTGCCTTGAGCTGTCTGCCCTCAATCCTCTGTCTAGGCCCCCATGTGTGTCTCCCCTTTCACACCAGCCCTACGATACAGCCCAAAAAGGCCTTTGATAAAAATGAGTTGAAAATTCTCCAGAAGGCCCTAGCTCAGGGGTGGGCAAACTTTTTGACTCGAGGGCCACAATGGGTTCTTAAACTGGACCGGAGGGCCGGAACAAAAGCATGGATGGAGTGTTTGTGTGAACTAATATAAATTCAAAGTAAACATCATTACATAAAAGGGTACGGTCTTTTTTTTTTTTTAGTTTTATTCATTTCAAACGGGCCGTAGTTTGCCACGGCTGCCCTAGCTGGTTTGTTCAGTGGATAGAGTGTTGGCCTGGGGACTCAAGGGTCCCGGGTTGTATTCTGGTCAAGGGCACATGCCTGGGTTGCAGGCTTGTTCACCAGTAGGGGGCATGCAGGAGGCAGCAGATCAATGATTCTTTCTCATTATTGATGTTTCTCTCTCTCCCACTCCCTCCCTCTCCGAAATCAACAAAAAATATATATATTTTTAAAAAATCCTCCAGAAGGATGACATAGACCAAGGCCTTAAATTTTAGAAAGAAGAAGAATGAATAATATTTACCTAGTATTTGTTATGTGCCATACACAGTTCTGGCTCTTTACATGTATTAACTCATTTCATCCTCACAACCCTAAGGAGTAGGTGCGGGTATGATCTTTCTTTTACAAATGAGGAACGTGCTGAAACCGGTTTGGCTCAGTGGATAGAGCATCAGCCTGCGGACTGAAGGGTCCCAGGTTCGATTCCGGTCAGGGGCATGTACCTTGGTTGCGGGCACATCCCCAGTAGGAGATGTGCAGGAGGCAGCTGATCGATGTTTCTAACTCTCTATCTCTCTCCCTTCCTCTCTGTAAAAATTCAATAAAATATATTTTTTAAAAAATGAGGAACATGAGGCACAAAGACTTTAAAATTAAGACATTTAATCTAGAAGAGATTGCCCAAGGTGACACAGCTGGTAGCTGATGGAGATGGAAGTCCATCTTGAGCTCTAGAGTCTGAGTTCTCTTTTTATTTTTTTAAAAAATATATTTATATTGATTTCAGAGAGGAAGGGAGAGGGAGAGATAGAAACATCAATGAAGAGAGAGAATCATTGATTGGCTGCCTCTTGCACACCCCACACTGGGAATCAAGCCTGCAACCTGGGCATGTGCCCTGACCAGGAATGGAACCCTGACCTCCACAGGTTCAACCTCAACTTCATAGGTTGAGGCTCAACCATTGAGCCACGCTGGCCAGGCCGGAGTCAGTTCTTAACTTACAGGTGGAATGGGGAGATCAGGAGATCAGCGGCCAGAGGAGGCAGAGTAAGCCAGCATGATGGGCCAAGGAGGCCTGAGAAAAACAGACCTGCAGAGCTATTTTGACTGGGAGCAGAGGCCAAAGCAGCCAGCCCCCTCCCTCGAGGGCCCACCACACCCACTAGGGGGCAGCAGAACGTCTTTCCCTGGGAACTGGCTCCCCTGCAGGAAGAAACCAGAGCCTGGGCCCAGACACCTGGCCCAGCCAGAGTTCTCCAGGTATGAGCAGGGCTGCACTGGGAGTTGTGGCAGTTTGGGCCTGAATGGGGAAATCTAACTCCTATTCTGATATTAAAGCTCCTCTCGTTAAACCTTCCTCTCCCTCAGGATAAATCCCAAATGCCCTACCTGGCCTGCCAAACACCCTGGGCTCACCCACGCTTCTCCCGGTGCCCCACTCACTCCCTCTGGGCCACTGAAAGGCCCATTTCTTCTGCCTGGAGTCGCCACTCACCTCACCCCTCACTCTCACTGGTCTCAGATAAGCCATCTCTTGACTAACTTTGAGACCTTGGCCAGTCACCAAACTATCAAGCTTCCTGGGCCTCAGTTCCCTCACCTGTAAAATGGAACAAATACTACCTATGTTATAGAACCGCGGTGCTTAACACAGTGTCTGGAGAAGAGTAAATGCTACCAAGGGTCCGGGGTTTCTAACCTGGCCCCTCCCCCACCCCGTCTGCATTAGGCTCCCAGCTCCGGGCTTCTCTCCCCGGCGCCTGCTCTCACCACACAGGATAGTAGCTGCGCGGTTACTCAGCAGTCTACCAGTGCTATGCATCAAGCTCCATGGGAACCACGGAATATATATATGGTGGTCACCCAGCACGGACCCTGGCACAGTAGGTGTGACATCTCTTTGACCTCAGCATGGACAGTGGGGCAGAAGGATGGGTTGCTCATCCTCAGATTCCAGGTTAGGGATCGGGGTGTGGGACACGTACCTGCTTGTTGTCCACGGGGATCTTGAGTTTCAACACCTCATACTTCTCCTCACCCTCATTGTCATCCTTCACCAGCAGCACCATCTCCTCTTGCATCTCTTCCTCCTCCTCCTTCAGTGTCTGCTGTTCGTCAGGCATCTTGGTGTCCTAGGGAGGGCAGCTGGGTCAGAAGCTCAGGACCACCCCGCACCCCGCACCCCGCACCCCGCACCCCGGCCTGGCCCAGGCAAGGCGGTGCAGCGCGGCTTCCCTCGGCCGACCCTGGGGTTGGGCCCTCTCCCTCCCACCCAGCTCGGCCCTAGGCACCAGCACTTGCCCGCGACCAGCTCCGAAGACACTTGTTCACCCCACGCATCCCGGCGTTCAAGGCCCAGAACAGTTCGAATCTCCAGTGCCGAGTCGCCACCCTCCCCGCGCTGAGTCACTGCCGGCGCCTGGTCGGGCCGGATCTGCAGGGCACCGGCTGGAGGCGGGATCGGTACAGAGACCTGGGGGTGCGCACTCACCAGCTGCAGATTCCGCATTCGCGCAATCCCCCCACCAGGACAGGGCTCCCCGGGTTTGGACACTTGTGATGCTTCGGGGGCGGGGCCTCTGGGCGGCCTGTCATTGGTCAGGACCTCTAACCCCGCCCCCTAGGGGCGGGATCCGGAGGACCCAGGCGTCCAGTCCGAGCTGCCCCTGGAGGATGGAGCGTCCAGAAGCAGTGGCCGCCGCCGTTCCCCAGCTCCCAGGACCCCCGTCCGCTCCACCCCGACTCTCAAGGTCCTCGCAGTCCGGTTCGGACCCACCTTCAGGGCGTTCCTCCTGTGCCGCTCGGGGTCTCCGCTGCGGCCGGGCACGTCCGCTCCGCCCAAACTAGGCTTCGCGCGCTCCAGCCCGGCCTGGGCCTCTCGCTGGCGCCCTCCACCTGGTTCCTCCTCACCTCTTCCCTTTTCCTCTCTTTCCTCCTGCGCTGTCTTTTCTCCTTCCCGGCGTTGCTTTTCCTGGACTCTGAGACATCTCGCTCCTTGAAAATACGCTTATCAAACCCACGCCCACAAAAGGCTACCGCTGCCCCGTCTTGTGTCACGTGCCTGCTATGCGCCAGCATGCCAAGCGTCTCACGATCGCTTGAAAATTAAGTATGTGTCGGTGTGTTTTGTTTTGTTTTGTTAATCCTCACCCGAGGATATTTTTTCAATTTAGAGAGAGTGGAAGGGAGTGGGAGACACAAAGAGAGAGAAACATGGATGTGAGAGGGACACATCAATGGCTAACCTTCCGCAGGAGCCCGGATGGGGCGGGGATGCAGCCTGCAACCGAGCTCAACTGCTGAGCCACACCAGCCGGGCCAAGTCGTGGTCTTTGAAGTCTTCCTCTCCCAGGAGTATGCAGGGAAATGAAATGTCACTCATTTATCAGTTTCTGAAAGCTGGTAATGAGCCCTTGGTAATAATTCAGAATGTCTCCTTTTAGTAAAGTTGATTCATATGTTCCTTCATCCAGATTTATGGGGTAACGTGACTATTTCATAAGGAGAAAGGCTATGTTTGCCAAAAGAAGTAGATTTCAGGTTGAGGAGCAGTATAGGGAGATCTTTTAGCCAACAGAGATTAAAAGCTTCTGAAAATATACCTGGTTGAGTTGTTTGTTTTTTGTAAGCGGAAGCAAAGTTTATTGAGAGACAGAGGGACTCCCTGCAGCAGGCAGGGAGGGAGCCCAAGTGGGTTTTCCCTAGTTGAGTTTGAATTGTGCCATTGGTATGTTCTACTCATCCAGAGAACTGGGGTGGTAAACACAATAGAAACACTGTAGAATAGGCCAAATATTACAAATGGATTGCACTAATTGCCCAGCGAAATGAGTCCTTCAGTCACTGTAACTCAGGGAATTTCCCAATTGGGATTTAATTTTTCCCAATAATAATTTACCTGGCCTTAAGGTTGTTGCTCTCCTGCCAGGAAATGCCTATACCCAGTGAGAAAGCATACAAATCATCATATATGAAATGGTGGCATTTGGATAAAATTCAATTACCATGCCACCCTAGCCAGTTTGGTTCAATGAATAGGGCGTCGACCTGTGGACTGAAGGGTCTTGGGTTCAATTCCGGTCAAGGGCACATGCCTGGGTTGTGGCCTTGATCCCCAGTGTGGGGCGTGCAGAAGGCAGCTGATCAATGATTCTCTCTCATCATTGATATTTCCATCTCTCTCTCCCTTCCACTTTGAAATCAATAAAAATATGCAAATTTTTTTTTTAAAAAATTCAATTACCATACCTCAAATGGATCTAAAGGAAGTGGAAAATGTCCTTGGGATCCATGGACTGGTTTTCCAGGATTATATTTGGACAGATAGAACATCGGCTGTATACTTTATGATACAGTAAGAGAAGATTTCTAGTAATATTGCTTACTTCATGAAATCATCTTTTGGGGATGATTTACATGTATATGTTGAAGTATAGGGAGTTGGGCCCCTATAGGTAAGATTGGTTTCTGATTGAGTCCAAGCCATATGTGTTTGCCTGGGTCAAAGATTCCCGCTACCTGACCTTTTTAATCCTCACCTGAGGATTTGTTTATTGATTTGAGAGAGAGAGGAAGGGAGAGAGAGAAACATCAATGATGAGAGAGAATCACTGATCAGCTGCCTCCTGCACACCCCACACTCAGTATCAACCCCGAATCCAATCGTGACCTCCTGGTTCATAGGTTGATGCTCAACCACTAAGCAACACCAGCTCGGCTCTTTTTATTTTTCTCTAAATCCCATTTCAGTTTTCTATAACCCTTCTTTCTTTCTCTTTTCTTTCTTTCTTTTTCTTCTTCTTCTTCTTTTTTTTTTTTTTTTTTTTTTTTTTTTTGTTAATCCTCACCCGAGGATATTTCTTTCCCATTGATTTTTAGAGAGAGTGGAAGGCAGGGGAGAGACAGAAAGAGAGAAACATCAATGTGAGAGAGACACATTGAATTAGTTGCCTCCCACGCATGCCCCAACTATTCATTCTGTTGCTTTTGCTCCCAGAAACCAGTAGGTACATTCATTGGAATAGGTTGGAATGGCCAGAATCGCATGCTCTAACAGTTACATTAAGTTCCTTTGTGAGTCCATCAGGGTCCCGGAGAAAATCAGGGAGATCTTTAGGTAGATTCCTTAATTATGTTCTAGTCCAAGTAATGTATACAATTGCTGGTTCCCCTCTGCCTGAGACCAGCTTTTCTCCAAAGGGAGCTGCTAGAATTCCTGCATTATCCTTGTCTGAATTTCTATCCGCACTTTCCCCTAGGTCAGTGGTCGGCAAACTCATTAGTCAACAGAGCCAAATATCAACAGTACAACGACTGAAATTTCTTTTGAGAGCCACATTTTTTAAACTTAAACTATATAGGTAGATACATTGTTATTAACTTAATTAGGGTACTCCTAAGGCTTAGGAAGAGCCACACTCAAGGGGCCAAAGAACCGCATGTGGCTCGCGAGCCGCAGTTTGCAGACCACTGCCCTAGGTCAGTATGGGAGGTGGTAGTGGAAGAGATATAGAGGAGATAGAAGGGGAAGGAAGAAGGGAGAGAGAGGGCAAGTCCGGACAAGAAAGCTCAGAGAGCAAAGGATATAGGGGAAGAGCTGCAGAAGGGGGAAGAACAGGGTATTGGCATTTATTAGCGTTAGCAGTCTTCTTTAGATCAGGGACATCTCTACAATTTCTTTTTTTTTAATTTATTGATTTGAGAGAGAGGGAAACTTGTTGCTTTACTTATTTTTTTTTATTTCCCCCCCCCCCCCGCCCCGCTTTACTTATTTATGCATTCATATTTGAGTCTTGTATGTGCCCTGACTGGGAATCGAACCTGCAACCTTGGCATATCATGATGATGCTCTAATCAACTGAGCTACCCAGACAGAACTCTAAAATTTCTTTTAACTTAAAAAAAAATTTTTTTTATTGCTTTCAGAGAGGAAGGGAGAGGGAGAGAGAGATAGAAACATCAATAATGAAAGAGAATCATTGATCGCTGCCTCCTGTATGCCACTTAGTAGGGCTCAAGCCCACAAGCTGACCAGGAATTGAACTGTGACCTTCTGGTTCATAAGTCAATGCTCAACCACTGAGCAACATTGGCCCGGCTAAAAATAAAATTATCGGCCCTGGCTGGACAGTTGGTTAGAGCATCATCCCAATATGCCAAGGTTGCAGGTTCAATCCCTGGTCAGGGCACATACAAGAATCAACCAGTGAATGCATAAATAAGTGAAGCAGCAAATCAATGTTTCTCTCTCTGAAATGAATCGATAAATAAAAAAGAATTGATCTGTGCTCCTCCTAATTTTAGTTTTATTTGGATGTCTGCAGAGTCTGAACAAATTTCTAGGGATGTTGTGTGGTGAGTGGAAGTGTGCTGCTTGAGTTGACTGCAAGGGGCATCACCTCCGTAGTTGCTTTCAGCCCTCTTAGAGTCCTGCTTTCTCTCCCTGGCTCTCTAATACAGTGGTGAGAACTGAGAGCACTAGGTAACAACCTTTGAAGTGCACATCCCCAGACGAGTCAATTAATTAATTAGTTTAGTTGGCGTTCCCTATGGGGCTCTTACATCTCATGGGGGATGCCTCCTTGCAGCAGGCTAGTAAGACACTAGAAAATTCCTTGCCGAGTGGAACGAGGAAAATGAGACAGATGCTGAACAAACTGGTCCAGCAATTGCAGCCGGTACAGACGGTCACCTCCCCAGAGATAACATCTAGGCTCTTGTATTTTAGCTCCAGGCCCAGAAAAGCAGCAAAACCAGGTGGGCAGCACCAGGACCAGCTGCAATGACTAATGACCTCCTGCCCTGATGCTGACCAATCAGTAGAGACCATGACCCTAAAAGGGCACACCTGGAAAACTGATGCATTTTCTACTGAATCCCTCCCCTTAGACTTTTCCTAAGATTCCAGCCCGGGAGCACAGGTGCCTTTCCCTCCCCCCTCCTCCCCCACAGGCACTCATCTCCTAAACTTTAAGGGTTCCCATGAGACCTGCAACCCGGGAGCAACAGGCAGCAGCAGCTCCTCCTGAACCTGTCTCCAAGGCCCCCTTTTCTGTGACTTTCCAGTGAGCAAAAGCAGCCCAGCCTGGGCTCATTTCTTCCCTGTAACATTTCTAGAGCCAAGCAGCCTCCCTTAGGTCGGTCCTGCTGCTGCTTTTGTGCTAAGCGCTTCCTTGGTTCACTGGCTCAGCTTTAATAAACATCCTCCCAATCACCTGGACTCATGTTGTGACATCTTTCCTGCACGAGGTCAAGAACCCACATGCTACAGGCTGGCCCTGGGCAGACCTGCTCAGGACCAGGTCCCCTGTCTGGTAACACCCTGGCATCTCTACAAAGAAAAATGGAAATTTGGGTCCTAACTGGTGTGGCTCAGTGGATAGTGTCGGCCTGTGGATTGAAGGGTCCCAGGTTCAATTCCGGTCAAGGGCATGTACCTTGGTTGCAGGCACATCCCCAGTAGGGAGTGTGCAGGAGGCAGCTGATCGATGTTTCTCTCTCATGGATGTTTCTAACTCTCTATCCCTCTCCCCTCCTCTCTGTAAAAAATCAATAAAATATATTAAAAAAGAAAGAAAGAAAGAGAGAGAGAGAGAGAGAGAGAAAGAAGGAAGGAAGGAAGGAAGGAAGGAAGGAAGGAAGGAAGGAAGGAAGGAAAGAAGGAAGGAAGGAAGGAAGGAAGGAAGGAAGGAAGGAAGGAAGGAAGGAAGAAAGAAAGAAAAGAAAGAAAGAAAGAAAGAAAGAAAGAAAGAAAGAAAGAAAGAGAAAGAA